GTGGGTGGGGAGCCGAGGGGTTTAAACCTTAAAGTCTCGGGCTTTGTTGAAATTAACTTTCGTATACAGATTTTATGACAAGAAATATGAAGTATTTTTGAAACTTGTGGAACATCAGAGAGAGTATCGCTCCATCATGAACAGCGTCTAAACCGGAGTCACGTCACCTGGGAACAGCAGGGATAACGAATTTCCAGATACTTGTGATGAGGGTAATTTCTTCTTACTGTACCGTCCATGGGAAAAATATACTTTTATCATCTAAGGTGTACATTTTAATTTTTAATAATAAATAAAATGCATTCACTCCACTGTGAAGCACTGGCTATTTTCTGTCAATAATCCCAAGCAATAATCATTTGCTCCGGTCAGAGGAGACAAGACAACCAGCTGCAGGTACCCCAGTGCCGGTATTTAGACTGGCCACAGCCAGGAACAGCACAAGGAACAACATAACTGACTTGGATGGACCTGAATCGCTGCCCTTTGCCACGCTTTTCACAGGTAACTACACCTGGCATCACACATGGTCCTTTTAATTTTAGTATCTGCTACAGCTAAGACTTAAACATGATTTCCACTGGAAAATTCTGTTTGGGTTCTTTTTTACTCTGATTACAGTACTTCTTTGGTGGCTGATATTTGAGAATCATTTTTGCAGCTGTGCAATCTTTTTCTCTCTGTTTTCTCCTGTTTCCTGCTCTCTCTTTTCTGTCTCCATGCTTGCAGTGCAGTCGTTTTGCTATCAATCATTTGTGCCATTTTGTCTTTTGCAGGTAACTCACCCTCAGCACACATTAATCACTGTGCAGATGTGAAACGGCCCACTGTTGACATTGAAAGACCAGGTTGAGCAGACACAGTTGCTGAAAATACGCTCATAATCCAGGTGCATTCCATCCATCCTGCCAGCTGCCTTGTGGGGAGTCAGCCCTGAAACAGCCCAGCTCTCCGTGTGCGTTCTCATCACGTTGCTTCAGCCAGACGCAGCTCAGAGCACGGGTGTCCACACAGCCCGCCAGCTGCAGAGCTGAACTCAGCCACAGCAGGTACAGGGAACATGGAGGAAGAGGAAGAGGGGTTTCCTTGGATTTGTCAATGCTCAGAAACCTTCCTGGCTGCTGCTGGCCAAATCCAGTGAACAAAAGGCTTTCATTTGTTCCCAGGTGATTTTTGAAGGCTGCCCTGGATAGTTAGTCCTACAAGGTACTGCCAGGCTCACAACAACAGGTCATGGCATAACTGGGCTGTGGAAGGAGAGAGTTTGTATATACAACAAAAATGTTTCACCTCTGACAGAATTCAGAAATTCTTTCTTTCTCTGCCATTTGTCTGGTACTTCTTAAAAAAAGATACTATTGTATTTAAGAAGTAAAACCAGGGTCCCTAGCTGAAGGAAAGGATTGAGAAGCAAGGGGTAACAGAACAGAAGAATATACTCAGATCAACTATAACTCTGTTATAGGTCACTAGTGAGAACCCTTCTTTCTTCACACTGCAAACTGCCACCCTCTTGGTGAGCCTGTATGATGCAGAAGAAACAACCTACGGAGACTGTATTCATATAGAGGGACTCCATCTTTATACACTTCGCTTGATAGAAATTCCATTCTTTAGTATTGGCATGGGCTGTAATTCCCAGTTAAATGCAAACAGAAGTTACACAATAACAAAACTACACTTAGAGAACTTGGAAAATGATCGTTTCTGGGGTTTTTTATCTTAGTAGTCAGCACTCAAAAACATCTGGTAATTTTTTTAAAGAAACAATGCACTTCCTGCCTTGTAGTTCCTGGAAAAGCAATTGTTGCCATTTCCAGAGTACCCATTGTTAAGCGAAACAGCTTTACAAGTTCAGGGACATAATTAAAGACAATGAAAGTTGATGGGAATAAAATTAAGAAACATCATAACAAAAAGAGTGTAACAAGCAAGAAAATGACTGCACGTAATGGTATATCAGAGCTTACAATTAAAGGGCATAAGAAAACATGTCAACTGAAAATATGTAGAAGCAAAAAACAGTTGGAGACCAGTGTATTGTGAGCAATAAATATTCATAAATTTTAATATATTTTAATATATGATTCTTATGTAAAAATGAAGTCCACTGACACCAAATATAAAGCAAATGTACAGATTATACAGGGACAGATGCGTAGGGTTTTCTGGCACTGTACCAGCATTTTTAACTCTGCAGCTCAACACCAACAGGCACATGTACACACACCCCAACTTTGACAAAACTTCCTGCAATTTATATCACCATCATAAATCTGGTCTTAATCTCTCTGGCTAAACAGGTACCAAGACTTACAAAGAAATCACAAGGAGTGTATGAAGTCTAGAAAGGAAACAGTCATGCTGCCTTGGTTGAAGCTTAGATGCACCGAGTTCAAGGAAGTGGTGTACTTTGCATAGGCTTATAGAAACAGTTAAATAGAAATTTGTTCACATTTCTTGCATTCTTTCTTTAATCCCCTTGTGATACTTCTACTTTATAGTTGCATTTTTGTTCCAAGCCACTGTTACTACCAGTTTCATATTGTCCATTTTAGAATCAGGTCTGTACTCACTGCAGAGCTGTAAAAAATCTATATTCCAGTGGATGTGTAATCAGCTGTGATAAAACAAAGCACTGATACAAGATTTTGTACTGATACTACCTAACATTCTTTGTGTTATACAAGACTTAGCAAATTGTACAGTTTGCTAAGGTCTTAAATTAAAATTTTATTCAAATTGAGCCAAGATGTAAAATGTTAAAGCTTAAGAGTTCTAAAACTCTTCAGTTGCAAGTTGATCAGCATGGTCATTTTAGGCTCTGTTCATAGCTTTAGGCATTTTCAGTTCAGGCACTTTGTATGAAGAGAAGTTACAGAAAAATGCAGCGTGAAAGAGTCTAGCAAATATACGGTGATGTGTAGAACTAGCCTTCTAAGCGCTTGCAGACCAAATCACTTGGCCATGCCAAGTATTGTTGAGTCCTGCTTCAAGCCTTTGTCAGCAGCAGAATGACAAATCCATCATACGCTGCCCCAAATCAAAGAGAAGCCTGTCATCGCTCGATGAAGTTTGACCAAGGAATCCAAGTTTGAGTCAGTCAGGACTCTGACAGCATACTCTGAGCTGCAGACCTCGCCATATTTACCCCATTAGATGCAATTTGCTGACAAATATTTATCATACAAATTAAAAGAAGGGAAACAACCACCATGTCATCAGCCGTTCCAAGTGTCCTGCAGAGAGGCCCAGGCTTCGTGTCAAATGGAGAAGAGAAGCATATGATTGTTCCGAAGGAGCAAACAGCAACTCTGAGGAAAAAAATCCATACGAGACCACCCCAGGTGAAGATTCCTCGCAAGGCAAGAGTGAGGAGTAATGGCATGTCATAAAGATAATCTGCAAACTAAATATTTAGATGAGTTATGTTATTTTGCTTTCTGATGCATGCAGTTCTTTCAGTTCAGTGTGTCTCTTAAGCACTTTCAGATTCAAATCTCTTGAATGCAGAAACTTTCTGTGCTGTCCAAATCCACCTACGCTATTTTCTTTTGCAGTCTCTAGAGGCACACTTCTAAAAGGACTCTCTGCTGTCCCAGCACTTTGAAAAGAACGTATTATGCTTGATACTGAATCCTTCTGGAAACTGGGCTGCACTATCTACCTGTCTTTAAACTCTGGCATCAAGTGTAGGCTATGAATGCTTGAAAATGAGGCCTCAAGTCTCACCTTGGTGTGGACAGGAACCATAGGACTGAGTGACTGTTCCTCTTAATTAATGCTAGTTTGTTGGGTTGAAAACCAATATTGCCCTCCACAGTGCTTAGCTGAGTCCCTAGCATGAAACAGACTCCACAGTCCTTTCAGGCCCCCTACCAGGCTGTGACAGGAGAGGAAGATTTGCTCTCGTGTTACTCCACACCCTGTCAAGAATGGGCCTCACTCATGCCTTCAGCCCTCATCTTTCACGTCATTTCCACTCCCTGTCACGTCTCTGTACCAGCTGGGATTCCAGCTTCAAGAAAGTGCAGACAGAGCTGGTGTGGACTGTTCGAGTTTGGCGATACTTGGTGAAAAAAACAGCTGCTTTCTAAGCTGGAATCTGATTTGAAATTTTAGAGGCAAGTTAAAACTCTGGAGTTCAAATCTGAGTTCATATTTGAAAGTTCCAGCCTGACCATCTCTAGTTCTGCTTTGCTTTCTGTGTTTCATCCCACACTGCTTTCTCCTCACTGCCAGGATGACTGCAGAAGGACTCCTCTGAGCTAGGAACTCTGAGAAGCACCTTTACTAGAAGGTGCTGCACCCAGCAGCAGATGGTAACACTTCTATGATATCACCAATGAGTGCATGGAAATGTAATTCACATGACGATACAAATTATTTTTTATTGCTGGGTCTCTTTCAATCCTCTATGTGTTATGCACTACTAATCAGGTAAATGTAGATTTATAAATACTTACAGGTCGGGGTTGCCCTGAGAAACGCTTGTTGTAATCTCTAATGTCGTGTACAATTTGTTTACTTGGCTTATCTTGTTGCTTTTCACAAGAGATGTTATCCAGAAGAACCACCTTCATAAGAAAATGAGATCGGCATTAGCACGGTATATGTCAATCTCCAGTATAAAGGAGAGTGTTCTGTAGGACCTGTCCCTCCATAGTTTCTCTCTCACAACTGGACAAGAACATTTTCCTTTTATAACCTGCATCCAGCCTTCCAGTACAACAGGCAGCCTCTGGCAGCGGTTAGATGAGATTAGGAACTTCCAAATTACTTCTTATGGAATGTTATCCCAGAGATTCAATAAACTATACAAAAGCTGGAGGCCTGTTTAATATTAATTTCACAGAGTTGCCTGATATAACGTGTCAAAGGATAAATAAGATCCTAAGAGCTCAAGCTTGTTCTTTTTAATGTATCATAATGCAGATGGAAGTAAGTCTTACCTTTTGTCTGCAGAGAGGGCAGGTTATTGCTGCTAACCAGGGACTATGTTTCCAGTATGTGATCAGACAGGACCCTATCAAAAAAACCCCAAAACATTAAATATATTTGAGGATATTTAATGTTTACAAAGAAGTTATCAGAATTAATAAACCCTCTTTCTTCAACTGACTGTGAAAATTAATGTAATTCTTTGCTTTCATTTTAATACGTGGTTTTACTCTGCAAGGTGACTGTGTAAAAATGGAGCCTTAGCTCTTCTACACTGGTATATACAGAGGTACATGGACCTCCTAAGGGAGATGTTGATCCAGTTTCTTTTCCTGTGGATAGCATCTTATTCTTGCAGCTCCCCGGATTGTGGTTGAAACACTCGGGAATACAGGTACCCTTCAGAGCAGAGCGCTGGCTGCTGTGGACAAAGGCAGTGCAGCTGCATAAAGGTGGAGTTCTTCCAGAGCCAGTATGGCTTTTAAGAGCTGTGAAAACCAGTCTTCCCAAATGCACAGCCAAGGGACGGCCTGGTGATGCAGACTTCTGGTGGCACAACAACACCTATCTTGATGATAAAGTATTGTACATTGGGCTATTTTGTCTGTTTGCTTTTTTTTTCTTTCTCTTAACTATATTTCATCTGTTACCCTTCTAGAACTGCGTAGCTCTGGATGAGTGAGTTGCTGCATTCTTTTTGATTCTTTTTACCCACACAACTGCCAACTAATTTCCAAATACAACATCATCGCTTCTTATAGCAAGGTGTCAGGTGTGAAAGAAGGCAGAGTCTGAGGACAGTAAGATTAGACTGCAGATATAACTGCCAGCAGTGATTGACATACATGACTGTCAGTGCTGGCACTAACAGAAAACCAGCAAAGCATAAATAGCATCTAATCAGAAGCAGCACAGCTTGACTTTCAGTTCCCGGGTGCAGTGTGACAGGTCAGGAAAAAAAATCTCTCTGCATTTAAACTGATCAAATTTGACAAGGACCCCAGTGAAAACAGAAGCAGAATGCTGCACTGCCATTTTGATGGAATTGTTTTATTGAATTGAACAATGCTCTTTGTTCTTAAAATAACCAGCAACTAGTTTCTTGTAAGCAGTATTATAACAAGAAATCTTCAGGAGCCCTCAGTACACCCAGACTTTGTCTATTGTCACTGAAAAATGGAATTTTGGAGAAACTGTGTTTGAAATCAAGTATAAAAATGTTCATGATACTATCGGCTACAACCTGTATACTAAGGATGTTAAATTTGTCACGAACCTTGCTCTGACTTGTGCGTGTTACTTTTATTTTCATTTGAGTGCAGTTTTCTTTATGACTCTTCTATTTTGTTTGCATATACAGACCAGTTGGCTGGGCACATGGTGGTGTTTATATCTAAATCCCCACGCAGCATGTATAAACTCAGTCTGGCAGCCAGCTTCCAGCTTTTGCTTGAACTTTTGCATTTGACAACATCACGCCTGACTTTAGGAACAGCTTTGACCCTCTGGGACCATATCCTGTATCGTGATCCGCATGGCTGCATTGCTGTGCCTCTGCTCAGTCCCCATGTTGACAATGGGGCACTGGTAGATCCCATAGTTCTTCAAGGGCTTTCAAAAAAGAAGCCCGTGGAAATTAAAATTTGTTGCGTGCAGAATCCTTTGTTTAGTAGAACAGGAAAGAAAGGACTCCTCTGAAGTTGACCTATTTGTGCTTGGGTGCATTTTTCATAAAATAGACAAAATCCTGTTTTAATCTAGCCTGCTACACAACCTTCTGAGGGAGTCCGTAGGTTTCTCTAAAATACCTCTGTGGTTATTGTTAATTAGAAAAAAATAATATTGCTCAAGGATCGCTTTTCAGTTGAACTTCCTGAACATATGGTTCAAACTGAAGCTGAAAAGGAAAACTTCAGGACAAACTGTATGAATTACTACTAATAATAAAATCAGACATTTTTTATAAGTCCACATTAATCTTCTTTAAAAGCTCTGGGTTGACCACATTTTTTAAATAAAACTTTTACCAGAGCGGAATTTATTAGGAGAGCTCAGCATTGCCTTAGCTCTGTTCCACAGGGCATCAAGAGAAGTTTTATTACTGATTTCAGTCACAACAGGCTTAGATCTACACAGAATGGTTTTGATAAGCCCAATGTAATGTTTTATTGGTTTAAGACATGAAAAACAGACATGTTACAGAGGCCGCTTCTACTATATAAACATAGTCATAACATATATAATTCATTGCACTGGAATCAATGCTTCAGAGTGTAAATGATTATGTAGTTGAGGAAAGTAAAGCCTAGCTAAATATATACAGCTAACAATACCAATATATACCAAGCTTGTATATGGTACTTCTCTTCTGCAGATCTCAAAATAAAATAAAAATAAAGTCCATATCATTATGTCATATTCACAGATGGAAAAGGGAAGATTAACCAGGCCAGAGAAAGAGGAGAGTTGATGATCTTTGTTGTTATGTCTGTCTTTGAACTTGAAACTATAACTTCTGTGACCTTATTTGAAACAGGTTTTGAGGCCATATGCTTACTGTTTATCCTGGAGTGAGTTCTATTCAAAGCATCCTTTTTTCCTGTATGTTATAAAACAACGTTATAAAAACATGAAACAACCTAAAGTGTTACTCGTGAGGTAGATGAGCCCTACAAAGTGTCTCTAGCTGTCCATGATCCACTGATTTGTTGTGATTTCAGAGGATGGAGATGGTGGCAGTGGTGATGAGGAGTTGTGCTGTGTGGCCATCATTTCAATCTAGATAAAAATGGCACTTCCTAAAGATAAAAATATGCTTTTATTGCACCAGCATTAACAACAGAGTGGCTTGTTCTCATTTATGCTTAGGTCTTTTTGTAACACTCTTACATGGAGAAAAAAGTGTGAAATGGCTTGCACTTGAAAATATAACTTGCACTTGCTTTAAGATCTCTGTAAAATGCCAGCAGTAGAAAGGAATTTTATGGTTCTGACCAGTGCCTTCTGATGTGTCTTGCTGTTCCAGTAGCAGGTATTACTGCCTCCAGCTGCCTGCCTGCCCCTCTACTAGAGGTTACTGATCTCATGCTGCACAGCAGCGCTGAAGTACCTTCATGGGCAGTTTCAGCCTCATCAGATCATGAACTTTAGTTCTTTTCTGTCACCCCTGCTGTGAGGATGACAGCAAGGAACCTGATAAGCAGCTGGGGCAGTGAGGTTGTAAACTTCACCTGTAAGTTCACTGGACGATGTATCTCGGGGGTCTGAGAGAAACTTTGTTCAGTTCAGGTATGCTGGTGGCCTTATCCTGCTGCCTTTCAAAGCAGGTGCAAAGCTCACTGGTGCAGAATGTAGGCCTTAAAAATCCTGAAATCCCCTTTTAAGTGGAATGATGAACGTAACCCCATCCACTATTCTGTGCTTCATCCTTGTATTCCCTTTGAAAAATTATTTAAATTTTGTAATCCTAACCATATGGCTTAGCAGCCTCAAAGAAGGCATTTAGCAGACATATTTATCTACAGAATTATGGTTTTACTTAGATTATCCAGTGACTATAAGTGCAGTGGGTGCGGACAGGAGACCACACCACAGGCACCCTCAACAAAAGGATCCTCTCAATCTGGATCTGTCCCTTTCCTGTTGTGACAGACCCTGGGCATCCTTCGTGATGAGATGTCTTTGAATACTTTTTCCCTATATTACCACATGGCTTTACTTAAACAGATTAAAAGAAGGTTTATACATTACTAGAAACTTAGTTTTTGAATTTAATATGTAACTTCCACTAGTCTCTTTTGTTCAGAAAGCTTTTACAGGACTGCAAGGTGATTACGCCTTCTTGCTCTAGATCACTTCTGCTTTATTTTAGGCAATTGTTTCACATGGGAAGCAAGTCTGTGGAACAGAATCAGACCTGAAGCCAGTATAAACACAATCAGAATCAAGCTATCAATGGGATAGCTGGATTTTTATGCTGTTGAATAGTGACATATAAAAAGACAAGCTGTCTTCCCAGAAGTGAGTTGATGCTTGAAGATAAGACGTATTTTATCTTGGGCTTTTACACTGACTAACTATGATTATAAGACTGTTGATTTTTGTAAGGGTTTTTTTTGCACAGTTGAATACAAATTATGTGCTTTTCTGCACATTGTACCCATTCCAGGAGTTTGTGCTGTAATTTAAGAGTATCCTGCAAGATGATCTGTCACCTCTTGTTGTCTTAAGAGTTTTTGGGGGGGTTATGGAGATGGGACTTCTGCTTCTAGTGAGAGAACTTACATGAATTCCAGGGAGAAGGGCTTGGTCCTGGTTCTTATGCAGGACTTGAGATGTCTGTAAGAAGTGTGCTGCATTCAGTAGCCTGCGTAAGCACTGCACTGTCAATCCAGAAAACTTACCACAGAATAAATGTCCACAGTTGGTTTCTACAGGGAAAGTTGCTGTCTGGAGACAGATGGGGCAGCTGAAGTCACTGTGATTACTAGGTTGCCAAATTTGGAGTGATTCCTGGAAGAGAAATGGTACAGAGTCTTCAATAAATTGACATATTCAGTTCATTAATAATAATTTACTATGATTATTAGAAAGCCACAGAAACTAAGCATAGATGTCATGCATTACTAATTGTTACCTTGGCAGATAATGAAAATTAGGCACAAATAAATGAAATGCTTTGTGTAATTCTACAGAAAGGGCCAGTCAGAGGTAAGATCATGATGCGACGTTTCTGCTTCCAATGATATATCCACACACCACTGGATAATATTTATGTTTTGAAAGCCAGTCGAGTTTGCTTCTGTTGCTGTCAGACAGCACCTGAAGTCTGCCTCAGTAGCTTTTGGATCTTTTTTTCCTCCTTTGTAGTCATGGCTATCACTTAAACATACTGAAATAAAAGTCCGGTGCACTCTCTGCCTTCCTTGGGTGGCACAATGGTATCATAGGCTATGAAGCAAGAAGACGCCTTTATTTAAGTAAATAAATTTCTTCTGAACAATCCTTCCCTTTTCTTAGCAAAGTCTATAATTAAGAATAATATTGAGCTTTGTTTTTAGAGTGGGAAGATAAGAACTTTTGAAGCCTTTGAAATGCAAAAGAGGCATTTTGAAGCACATTGGTATTATAGTATTTCTGTAGGGGAAAGGCTGAAGGATGTACGTGCGTCCTTCAGTCTTTGCTCCTAAATCATTGCCTGAAAGCAGTAAAAATCTATTTGGCAGTATATTAATTTATGCCAGGATTGTTTGATACAGTGGGAGATAAAAAAACCAACCCATTCTTACTTGATATTGATTCTATCCCACATTGAATGTTTTTGCTACCTTTATTATGATGCATTAGATAATCTGTAATGGGTGATGGACCTGCCTGCTTTGTCTGAGCACACCAGGGAGAAACTTGCATTTGACCATATGTTTGAGTGCCATAACCACAATGAGATCAGTCTTTGAAGAAAATTTGGTGTCTAGATAAAGTTATTTCAATGTTTCTATCAGTCCCAGAAACAGAGGAGCGCTTTTGAAACTGGGAGGGAGCTTCCAAGGAAGTCCCTCCACTTTAAGGCAGCCTTGAATGTTATTGACTGTCCTCCACTGCCTGTGCATGTTTAACAAAGTTCAACAGGAGATGGCATCAATTACAGTTTTAGTTTGTATTTTGATAAAAAAAATTATGAACTTCACGTTTTTTAATGACCACAGAGGTCCAGCATTATATGGAATGGGTATTACTTCTCCATTACTGAAGTAAGGCATTCAGATGAGATGAGGGCATACTTTGGGACCAGTATGCTTGCTGTCCCTTGTTGCCCAATTTGGACTGCTTATTTGTTTTTCAAATACCTAATGGGCATCCGTCTACATGATGGTCAATGAATCCACTTCCAAGTATTTGACCTATTTATAGAAGTTTTGATAAACAGAAAATTGATTAGATTCTGTATTTGCATGTCAAATATTGGAAGATCCAGAGTGATTGTGAAGATTCAAGCTCATTTGACAATAGGCAAAGATTTTATTTAAGTAATTAATTTTTCTAATTTAATAATTCCAAGAAAGAAGAGAGAGATCGTCTTGTAGGTCTGCCAAATGAATGAGCAGGAAACTCGGTCTCTTGCCACAGCCATGTCTAAAATGACAAGTTCTCCCAATTAATGATTTTAAATCTGCATCTTTAATACCTGTGTTTCCTTCCTATAATGAGGATCTGTACATAAGAACCGGAGGTTTTAAAACAATGTGCCATAACTACTAGAAAAGGCTTTTCTTTTTCATGGTTTGTGAAGTTATAGATGTATTTGTTTCTGATTCTCAACAGAAAAATGTCAGATGCTGAAGGCATTTACATTGTTTTCAGATTTTCCTCTCTATGCACTTAACAAGATTATCTCCTGCTGAGGTAATGACCACACAATAGCCCAGCAAAGCTGGGATGACTGGATATGAATAATTAAAACATAACAACGATCAGATTCAAGTCCAGTACACTGACCGGTGAGCCCCAGGCAAGCAGGTTTAAACACAATGCTACCTAACATTCACATGGCACATCACATTCCTCTATTTTGACTTCCCATGCGATAGTGATGGGGTATAAGAGCATTTTTTCAACTGTATTACAAGCTGTAATAGTTTTCATCAGCTGAGGAACTGCTGCAGAGCAGTTGTGTTTATAAACACTGCATACATGACATAAGCCAATTAGGTATCTACTCTTTATTTTTGTAAAGTAATAACACACACATTTCTAGCTTTGTCTCATACAACAAAGGGAACCAAATGTGTTTCTGATTATGCAATAGATATTGAGTCAAGGGAAACCCAGCATTCCCAGACCATAACTGATGGAAATTTTGAAAAGCTCTCTTGCCCTCTGCAACCTCAACAAGTTGAAACCACTCGTGTATTTTGTATTAGAATGTGTTGTACAATAATTAACTTACTATATGACTCCTAGGGGACAAATGATTATAGTTTTTTTCCAGATGACTCATCTTCTGCTGACTTAATGAGTGAGTCTGCAGGAACAGAGTTTGTGCTGTTCAGAAAATGGGAAAATTGAATGTTGCTGTGTTGCCTTATGATACCAGTTCTGGCTGCTGAGGTAAGCTACCACGCGAAGGGGCTGGAAACTCGTCAGCTGAGGGCAAGTTGCTGTTGAGACTTTGAAAATGCTCTCTGAGCATCTGAATTAGAGTTAGGACTCTATGAATTAAAGCAAAGAACCAAGCAATGATCGTATACTAATGACCCTAGATGAAGAATATGTGCAAATAATATGAAAAATATATAAA